ATATATATTAATGATTAAAAAAATAAAAAAGTGATGATAAAAAAACATATTAAAGTTGTGATAAGATAAAAAATAAATTAAAATTAAATATGAATGTCATGTTTATTTTGGGCATTCAATTTTAAATGAGCCGACGTCAAGACAAATTAATGGACATTGGGGCGAGTATTTGAACTTTTAACCTATAATAATAATTTGTTTCTCTCAAGTATGTTTGTTGTTGATGATAATTGTGGATGCTTTATTTTGATTGAGACATTCTTTTCTTATTAGTCGTATTGTGATGAATGTTGTGACTACTTACTCTTGTATTTTGGTGTATGTTTTATTAAATATGATTGAAGACGATGAATACATATGTTTAGACTGACTGTTTATATGTGTATGATTGGTTAGGATGGAGCACCCCCGAATAGTATTAATAGGGGAATAAAAATGTAATTGTGCACGTAAATGAAAAAGTATATTAATATTGATGTATCTTAATCGAAACAAATTTTTAGACAATGTCACTTGTGACGATTGTATAGATATTAAATGATATTGATATAATAATGATATAGATCCATGTGAATAGCAGCTTTAATGTTTATAATGATTTATAAAGAAACTTAACTAGAATGCATATTTTTCTTTCTTTTCCTTGTATTGTTGTAGTTTAGAAGTATAAACATTCTATAGCTTATTTAGCTCATAGTTGTTTTAATCAACTTTTAGGTTTAATTAAATTATTAAAAAATGAGTGATAGTGAGAAAACATTTATACAAAAAACAGCAACTATCAATGAGATAATTTTAATTGTACCGCTTTAATTCAATTTGTAGTGGTTCTTTCATCTATTAAATTATAGACGAATATAAAAAAATTTAATTCGCACCATTCGATCATCTGTACTGTCTTGGTTAATTTTACGGTCTGAGTCAGGTCATGACAAAAGTAGTATCAGAGCACAAGATTTAGGATTAATTAATTAAATCTTGATGAAAGAGCCAATAGAAAAAATTATAAGAATGTTTTAATAATTATAAAATTAGAAGTTAACTAAAATAATTATTATTATACGTTCAGGCATTGTGATACAATCAAAATTATACAAGAAGGGAGTCCAATAGAAAATGCTAATGAGTTATGACGTGCGATCTGTTTTTTTCATTTTCAAAAATGAAATTTTTGTAAGTGAGGAAGATTATGATGAATCGCTTCAATTCAGGGGAGACGAAAGGAAGAACCAAAGAAGAGAACACAAACAGAAGAAAGAGGAAATAAAGAAGTGAGGAAGACGAAGTGAATAGTCGGGGCAGTCAAACAGAGTGAGAGGAAACTAGCGGTCAGAAGTTTAGGAAGAGATTTCGCCTATATAAATTAACTTATCTGTAGGTTTAGTAACTTGTGAAAGAGAGGAAGACGACGAGAGGGTAGGAAAGAGGGGACACTGCTGTCATGCAGAGACAATGACTGCGGGAGTTCCTGCACACTCGATCCTGATGAACAAACTGACGAAGGAGGAGAACAGGGGTGGCATTGCTGTCTGGCGACGAAGACTTTATTAAGCTTAAAGGAGGAATCGACAAGGTTGTCGTGCAGAGGAAGAGGAACAAGAGTAGGGTTGAGTTCGTGCGGGAGACCAGGCTCTCAATCTGGTTCACTTGTTAGCATGAAGGAGGAGAGAAGGGCTCTCGTGGCTGGAGGTGCTTGGAGTCGGCTTTCCTGCATAAAGTAAAGGCTCGACGAAGCCTTGTTGCTCTGTTCAAGTGATCTAGGGCACGAGAGAGGAGAGTAAGGTAACATACTTAATAATTAGAGTTATTATAATTTATTACAAAAAAATTATATTTAATTAAATTCAATCTTATTATTTAAAGGTAAACTATAGTAATAGTAATAATAATAATAATAATAATAATAATAATAATAATAATAATAATA